ATTATATGACAAAGGAGCCAAGAATATAAAATGGGGAAAGCACAGTCTCTTAAATTAATGGTATTGGGAAAACTGGTTATCCACATGCTAAAGAATGAAATTGGACTATTCTACATAATATACAAATATTAACTCAAAATGTTTTAAAGACTTGAATGTACTTGAAACCATAAAACTCCTAGAATAAAACAGGTAGTAAGCTCCTTGATATTGATTTGGTGATAATTTTTTGAAATCTGACATCAAAAGTAAAAACAACAAAAGCAAAAATAAACAAGTGGGACTACATCAAACTAAAAAGCTGCACAGCAATGGAAACCATCAACAAAATTAAAAGGCAACCCATTGAATGAGAGAAAATATTTGCCAATAATATATCTAATAAGGGGTTAATATCCAAAATATATTAAGAGTTCATCCAACTCACCAGCAAAAAAAAAAAAAAAAAAAAAATCTGATTTTTAAATGGGCACAAGACATGAATAGAAATTTTTCCAAAGAAAACATTCAAATGGCTAACATACATGAAAAGATGCTCAACATCACTAATCAAGAGGGAAATACCATTGAAAACCATAAGGAGATATCAGCTCACATGTTTTAAAAAAATTAAAAATAGAATTACCATATGATCCAGCAATTTCACTTCTGGGTACATAGCCAAAGAAAATGAAAACACTAACTCAAAACTATATATGCACTTCCATGTTCACTGCAGCATTATTTATAATAGCCAAGATATGGACACAACTTAAATGTCTATCAATGAATAAATGGATAAAAAATGGGGTTATATATATATAATGGAATATTATTCAGCCATAAAAAGAATGAAGACTTACCATGTGTAACAACATGGATAGACCTCAAGGTCATTATGCTAAGTGAAATCAGTCAGACAGAAAGACAGTACATTTGTATGATCTCATTTATATGTAAAAAAAAAAAATACAAGCTCATAGATACAGAGAACAGATTGATGGTTGCCAGAGGTGTGGGAGTGGCAGTAAATGAAATGGATGAAGACGGTCAAAGGTACAAACTTCCAGTTATAAAATAAATAAATCCTAGGAGTGTAATGTATAGCATTGTAACTATGGTAAGTCATACTGTATTGCATATTTGAAAGTTTCTAACAGAATAGACCTTAAAAGTTCTCATCACAAAAAAAAAAACCTACAACTCTGTATGTGATGGATGCTAACTAGACTTATAGCAATCATTTCACAATATATACAAATATTGAATCACACTGTACACCTGAAACTAATATAATGCTATATGTCAATTATATCTCAATAAAAAAGGAATATGCAATAGGTATGTGAAAGCACATTTGGAGGTTGAATCTCAAATTTCTTGGATGAAATAAGCAAGTATGTCTAAATCAACTCCACTTTTTGTTTCCCAAATAAAAACAAACAAAAAACTTTTCTCTCCCCAAAAGACACCAAAGTCCCGACAAAAATAACCAGCAAATTAGCTTGAGCACACTATAGGAACAAACATGCACTGCCCTATCACTCATTCCCCTACCAAACCAAGTGAAGTTACATTTCCTGATTCACTGATTACACTAAAATTTCCGGTGGGAGAAAAATGTGAAAATTTTGATAACATCTGTTGGCCCCTTAAGTGTAGCAAGGATTCTGTCCTACCAAGTGAATATGATAGCAAAGTATTTCTCCAGCTCTGACATAATTTGATTTCAAAAATGAAGTTTAAAAAAAGTTTCTTAATTTCTATGCAAATTTTAATGAAATTATAGATAAGATAAAGCAAAAATTTTGTTATCTTGCTCAAACCTAAACTAGACTTTGCTCATCTGTATGCATACTTAGCAGGCAGTGCAAATGTAAACTTCTGCAAGTCCCATCCAGTCTATAAACTTCTTATCAAAGACAAGGAAAAGATCCTACCTGCTAAATATCCTACACACCTTGGACACAATGCTGAATGGAGTGAGATATGTTTACCTGTAATATAGAGGCTTTCATCATGAAAGCTTTTGGTCACTTTTGTTTCCTCAAAGTGTGTAGAAGCTCATAATGGGATTTTTTAAACTTTATGAAATGGAAGGTGATGCTTCTTCAGAAGTGGACACGCACAAGATTGCTCTTAGTGTTACCGGCTATAGAAAATGTGTTGAAAATACTGGCCTGACATAACACCTTTTTCTTAAAACGCTGGACAAGAAGAATGTATTTCTATAATTTTTCAATACATGAGGATTCAAATAGAAAGAAAGGTTGCAGTAAAAACAGAAATTGACAAACTGTTTCTCTGAAACAATTTGATAATATGTGAATCCTAGGGGCAAAAATTTCACATAGGCTGTGACATCAACTCATACAATGAAATAATGGAAATAAGGCTGTTTAAGAATTCAAAAAATGTAACTAGAAAAAGGCAAGAAGTTAAACAGGACCTTCTCAGGTCCCAATTAAAATTGTAATTTATTTGTAATTAAACTTAAATTTCACAAACTCAAATTACTTCTATGCTTTAAATCATGTTCTCTAAGAAAAAAAAATTTTACTTATGACATCCAATGTGCTTTGCACTGTTTAAAAATGATGAGAATTTTTGAAACGGGTAGCCTGTATGATGAATTTAAATATGCAAAGGAACTGATTCATAAGATACCTGGTCTACCAGAAGACACCTGTAGAAACAAAGCTAATGAAAGTTTTTGGAGACCTGCAAACTAATTTCTACAATTATAAAAACCTACTGTGTCTACCAAATAAAGCCCAAAGTATGCCATGTTCAAATACATTTGTTGAAAAGATCCCTGGCTGAAGCCATCACAATGGACAGACACCTGAATTTATTAAGTGGCTTGATAAAGCAGAGCTTCAAGTCAAAAGGAATTATATATTTGGCTCTATTCCATTTTGCTGCTGCTTAAAAGAAAGGATGTCTGAAAGTCTGCAAGCAATTCAGAGAAGGATAATTGGACAATTAAATGGAAAGGGTCAAAATTACACCTGACCATATCATAGGACAAAAAGAATCATGTCATTGTTATTTTTTGTTAAATATAGAGCATATATTTAATCCTATTATATTTATACTGTCCTTTTGAAAAGTCTTACATTTATGAATCTTAATAATATACAACAGAATAGCCTACAAAATTTAAATATCCAGTAAAGACCTTTTAAAAAGAGGTAAACATCAATTGTTATATTAAACAATATATTATAAAATATTATCCTTATTAAATATTGTTATATTTTTGCTCACATATATTATTCGCTTAATCTGTTGTACTGTAAACTATTATCAATTGACACTGGTAATGAGCTCTATTAGTGTTTTGCTTAAATAAGAGCATTTATGTAACAAAACAATCAATAACACAGAATAATATAATTTTAAATAAACATCTATTTTATACATATTTATGTGAAAATAAATAAATATGTAAAAATAAATATATATATATACTTATATGTTGCATGTTAAATTATTATTCCTTTTTTTGGGGGGGGGGGGGGGCTCTAAAACACAGTCTAATATGGCTGTGTGTTAACTCTGTAAAAAGTTGGTCACCCTAGGTTTGCCCTTCCCCTAGTATCCAAGCTTCATGTAAATCTGCCAAGGAATTTCATTATTTTCCCCAAAAGGAAAGGGGTAAGGATGGCTAGCCTCTGATTCCAGGTTATTCTAGGTGGGCTCCAATATCTTCTAAAACCAGGAACTATCCCCCAGATATACCCAGGCCTGCCTAGATCTGCTTAAACTCAAAATACTACTCAGAAAACTCAGGGAAGAGATTCTAGAGAGGATATTTCTAAAGATTAGATGAGAGCCCTTACAATGCAGCAGAAAGGAATAAAAGATAGCTTGAAAAATTCTGGTGGCATTAATATAACAACTACTAACAAACACTATTTTTTTATTTATTTATTTTTTTATTTATATATGAAATTTATTGTCAAATTGGTTTCCATACAACACCCAGTGTTCATCCCAAAAGGTGCCCTCCTCAATACCCATCACCCACCCTCTCC